TTCGTTTTAATTGTAAAAGTTTCCTCTAATAATCATTTTTGATCGCCCTGTTTGTACCTCATTGCATGCCTCTCCAATTGAATTGTTTGATGTTTAGTTTTGGGGGGCGGTAGTAATTCTTTCATCTGTGCCACGCCTGTAGTCGGATGTTCTTCCTGGATCCGCAGTAGTAGCGATTCGGAAATAAAGTTGACCTTCTGGGTAATTCAGATATTTAGTGATAAGCTTGTAGAATCAATAGGCCCTTGACACGCGATAAGCTTGACAGCGATTTTGATAGATTAAAGAAACATTTTCAATTCTTTTTTGTTTGGATTTGGTGTTTTATGTTTGCAGTAACAACAAATTTCTACGGTCCATTATTTGGAATATTCATGGATGAATTAGGTGTCACTTTGAATGAATTGACTATTAGTGTTGCACTTTGCTTTTTATTTCTTGGTGTTGGATGTTTAGTTATTCAACCAACGGCATTAAAATTGGGGAAAAGATTCGTGTATTTGTCATGTACAATTATCGGTATTATTGGATGTGCAATCGGAGCAAAAGTAAATTCAATAGGAGCGATTTATTTGTTTCGAGAACTTACTTCAACCATCCAATTAAGAAATCTTGATCTTCTCGAAACCTTGGTTTTTCTGATTCTATTTTTTTTTTCCAACAATAATGTATTAACTATTTAACATACTAATTACTAATAAGATACACTAAAAATTATACATAAGTTAATAGAGAATAATAACTCTATTCATTTGATTTTATAAGTTTCTGTTCTTACACCATTTTTAATTTTTGTTCGAGTGAGATAAGGGCAATAAGTTTCTTTAAAGATTGATCATCAATTGGTTCAGTATGATCAAAATGGATTCGTCGTAGAAAGAGATTCCATATGATTTTTAAATAACCCTCTATTTGTTGCATTGTTGTTATTGTGTGAAATGCATTCGCAATAAGATTTTTCCAGCTGAGCGAGATTTTTAGATTCATTTTGTTCCAAATTGACCGACTGATTTCACACTCTTGATAAATGTGGAGGAAATATTCATGGGAATATTCCTTCGCACAGAAAGGGCAACTATTGTCATTGGTTGGGTAGTGGTTACGATGACCGAGAGTGAATCGATGGGTTTCTTCAAAGTCTGCGGGATAGGTTGTCTTAGCCTTGACTAGCGATTTCCAATATTTTTGCCATTGTGATGGTGTTATGTTCAAGAGTGTGCTCCACCCTTTTGGTTCTAGGGCAACTCGTTTCTCTAATTGGGCTTGCCTGCTGCGGCTCTTGAAGGTTAATTCATTGACCGGTTCCATATCTTTTTCCCAATCTTTTTGTTCAATGGGGTAATTAACAAATTCTGATAAATCTCGTAAACTAACACCTATTGGATGTTCCCTTTGGTTGGCCTTTTTTAAATTCACAATTGAATACCACGCTTCGATCCAACTGATTTCGTTTTTGGAAAAATGATCATTGGCAAATGGGATGCGATCTCTGATGTAACCTCCTCTTTTATCTTCAATTTTCCCTCCTACAAGCAATCGATACCATGGGAAGATCCATTTTGAATCCTGGGTGGTGGGGTTGGGTGCTTTTGCATATTGGTTGAGATAGGCTTGTATCTTATTTCGTAATAATAAACTTTCTCCTGAATTGTGGTTGTTAAGCATGTCAAAGATGAATTTGGCTCTTTTCCCCTCTAGCTGAGTTTCGATTTCTAGTAATCCATAACCACCTTGAATCTTGAGAGCAAATAGATTTTGGGGACTAATAGGGGGAAGAAAACATTTAATATTCCTAATGAGTAGTTGGCAGTCTTCCGCTGACATTGGATATTGGAGGTCTCTGAAGTATATTTTTGAAAAGATATATTGATTGAGACCCTGTGTTCGTAGGTGGATTGGTAATTCCTTGATCGTATTGAAATGGAGCTGGGTCCGAAGCGATTCGATGTAGGGGCTCCAATCGAAATTATGAATGTTAATTCCAAGATATTTGAAGTTTTCCTCTTTTATATGTTGACTTGGGAAGTTGAGGATGGCACCTAAAGTAGTGGGTTGATCTTGGTTAAAATAGGTGATGAGTGATTTAGTTTCATTTATTTTGGAGTTTGAGATTTCACAAAATTTTGTTAATTCCAAGTGTAGGATATGAGCATCCGATTCGTCATTGAGAAAGATAGTAAGATCATCCGCAAAAGCTAAATAGGAATTTCTGAGTGGGCGACCGAAGACAAGCTGGACGCTTATACCATGGAGTCGCTTTTCTAAAAAGTATAGGAATGGTTCTATAGCAAGGTTGAATAAAATTGGCAGAATAGCGCTTCCTTGCCTAGTACCTCTCTGGAGTGGAAAACTGGAGCTACAGAAATCGTTAATCACTATTTCTGCAGTTTGTTGGGTAGTTAACAGCATGATACCTTTTATCATTCGGGGGCCAAATCCTAAATGCTGGAGAACCTGTTTGAGATATTCATGTGAAAAATTATCAAATGCCTTTTCAAAATCCAAAAAGCAAAGTGCTTGCGTACTTGTAGCAGTTGTCAATTGTTCAATTTCTTTTATTAACATATTCATTTTTGATATTTGGTAATCCATTCTTCTCTCGGGCATGAATCCGGTTTGATTTTCTCCAATAATATCGTCCACACAAGTGAGAAGTCTATTATTGAGGACACTAGAGATGATTCGTGTCGAGGTGTTGATCAACAGTATGGGTCTAAAATCGTTGATGTTGGTTGAATTCTTGATCCTTTTCGGTATTAATTTGATTAAAACTTCCTTCATTGCCTTTGGAAGTTGTCCTGTATCCATAATATTGTTTGCTTCTTGTTGGAGGAGGCGGCCACTAGTATCCCAGCTCCTTTTATAGAATCTAAAAGGGATGCCATCTTTTCCTGGTGAGGATTGATTCGAGGTGGAACGAAGTGCGTCATGTATTTCTTCTTCTGTAATTGGGAGTTCAAGGTCATGTCTTGTTTCCTCGGTGATTTTCTTTTGGAAGCCACTAAGATATGATACTATGTCATTTGCATTCTTGGAAGGTGGCTCCTGATAGGTAAGTTCGAAAAAGGTTTTTGCTAACTCAATAATTGTCTCCGTTGTAGTGGCAATAATTGATCCCTCCTTATTTGTCATCTTTTGGAATATGTGATTTTCAGTGGGTTTCCCAACGAATCTTTCCCGTAAATCCTGGAATTCTTCTTTTTCCATTGCCTTGGGTAGGTAGTCTGATGCTCGGGGAATGGATTTCTTGATATTAACATAGTAATGAAAGGCCCTACTGAATGCTGGTAGATTGTGTGTGAATTCTGACAAGTTGCTAAACTTGCGGTTATTTAATGAACTGAAGAAGTCTGGATCATCTATGAGGTTGTCGTGAAGGATGAATCGTTGACTTCCAATTGAGATGGTTGGGGTGGTAGTGATAAGTAATTTGATGTTAATTGTATCATGAGTGGAAGTGATTTTATCCGTTTGAATCTGATTGAACTCAAGAAGTCGTTGTACGAAGGATTGGGATATATAGATTCTATCTAATCGTCTCGATGTTGTTGGACTCTTGTTAGTTGCATGTGATGTCGCCGGTGTAAAAAATTTATAGGAGTCTATAAGGTTGTAGTTGTATATGAGTTGGAGAAGGGATTCAGAAATTTGACGTTCACCTGGTTGTGAAAAAGGGTCAACCCCATGGATTACTGAGTTAAAATCTCCACCTAGTATGTATTTATAGTTTGATTGAAAATGGTCCCGATCTCTGCTTATTATAGTGTATACAGAGTCAATTAGGTTTTTTTGTAGTTTTGGTTTGCCGGAAGGGCCATATATATTGATAAGATGAATTATTTCACTTGTTGATCTGATTTGAATTTGACAGTCGGAGATATATGGTTGTAGATTGTTCGGTATCCGACTCAGGAGTGAGTTTTTGTTGATGATATTTAATTCTTGTTTGTTTTGGTTGATTATGATGCCCGATTTCGAGAAATGATCTTTACAGATGAATGCAAAGTTGGATTGTTTTAAGTGATTCTCGAATTGTTGGTATGGATAAAGTTGTGATGGTGGGCTATGGGTAAGATTTTTGATGGGCATTTCTTGGATGAAAAGGATATTGTATTGTTGTGCAATTTTGGATATTAAATGAAGTTCTTGACACCGCTGTATATTTTTCGAGCCAACACTAAAGACGTTTGGATCTTTATTGATGTTCGAAGGTATGAGAAGTTGTTTATTTCTAAACTTCAAGCGGCCTGTAAAATGGTTTACTTCACACATTATAAATTATTTGAGGTGGGTGCTTCCAAATGTTGGGAAGCAAACTGAGCTGATTGATCTGCATTTGGGGGCCCAGTGATAATAGATTGTTGTTGTTGTTGCTGTTGTTGCGTGAAATCCTCTGAATAGATGGGGTACGTTTGTTGACTGACGGTCTCCATCTCTAAAATTGCAGATCTGGTATCTTGAGGATCTGGGACTTCCTCTTGTATGTCGGGTGCGTCCGTAGAAGCGGTAGTTTTCCTTGGTCTGGTTGGCTTCACAGGAGTTGAGATTATGGCCTTGTGAGATCTAGATGAGCCGGCAATTTTCAATGATTTTGAAGAAGTGGTTGGTCTGATTTGGCCAATTTTTGTAGATGATGCAGCCTTGAGTGATCTAGGGGTGGAATTTGGTTTGGTAGATACCCTTTCTGAGCTTCTTGTACTTCTTGAGGGTGTTTGAGGAGTAGAAACTTGTTTGAAAGTGGTTTCTGCATCCTCCATTTCTTGATCGATTGATGATTCAGTGTTCGAAGTTGATTCAACATCCTCCATGTCTTGATCAGTTGATAATTCAATGTTAGAAGTTGTTTCCGCATTAGGTTCATTGGGTTGAGTTTGAGTGTTGGTATTGATTACCTTTTTAGTGGTGTTCAATGTGCTGTTAACATTGACATTGGAATCAGTTGAGGCAGGGATGGAATTGGTCTTAAGAAATTCACTTGGTGCATTTGTATTTGACTCGGAGTGGTTGTCTTCCGTTGATTCTGCAATACTTTCTTTCTCTTCTTCTTGTGGAAGATTTAAAAACATGTTGGTTTGGTGGGGTGGTTGTGTGGCTTGTGGAGTTTTGCGTGAGGTGCCATGGTGGTTTGCTACTTGAAAATCGGAACTGGATGGGTTTCTTTGGAGGATTCTAACTGGTGTAGTTGGTTGTTGCTGGTTGGATCCCTCTTTGGATGATGTGTTCGTAGCAGTTTCTTGTTGGTTTCTCTTGTAAGAATGGTGGGCATGACCGCTGTGTCCCGCTTTCCCACAACGGGTACATTCGACACTACAATAGAAACGAGTGTGATCTAATGTGTGGCATCTCCCACAAAATTGCAAATGGGAAACAATTTCAACTTTGTGATTTTCCAAATAGAAGCGTGACGCGTCAGGAACTTTGTTTTCCGGTAACTCAACAAGGAAAAATCTAGTTACTTTCAAATTTGGTGGGACCATGTAGGTTGGGATTGTTGGCAATGGGCTAGCATGGATCATTTTGAAAGGCATTTCTCTCGTTGGATTACTCCACTCCGTCGCCTCTTTGATATGTTGTGGCAACCTCTCAACTGGGCATGACCCCTTCAATTTCTTATTCTTTCTCTCAGATTTGAGGGAGTAATTTCTCACAAAGAACTCGGGGAGAGTCCATTCTGCATTTTTAGCGTGAGCAATTGGTAAACTATATTTGATGATTGCCAATTGACGAAGGATTTCATCTTTTTCTGTAATTTGAATTGCATTTTGATCATCTACAATGATCGTTCCGTAAGTTTCCAAGTAGCGTCTAATATATGATTCTAACTTGTCTTGGTTAGGGTAGATGAGACGCGCGAGATCCATTGGGATAATTGGAAGAATTTCCACTAAGACTTTATTACCCTCGATTGGCGCAATGTGAATTGCTTGGTGTACCAAAGTTTCTAATTCAGTCTCCCATTTTTGGTGAAGGAGATAACTTAATCTAGCCTTCATATCCGTTTCCATCTGCATGGAGATGTTGTCCCCATGTTCAACTTCTCCAATATTTAAGAGATCTTGTTTGATGCTTTCAATGGTTGAGATTAAGTCCATTAAGTTCCTCTTACGAACTTCTGGAGTCTTGATTAGGAGATGGTCTCTTAAGAGTTGGATCACTTCTTCCACATCGATGTTACCGGTTTGGCTAAATTCGTAGACTAAACCATTTGATTTAATCGAGGCTGATCCCATTCTGGAGTAAAGTTCCATTTTCATTTCTTCTGGAACATCTTTCAATTTTTCGATGGAAGTGGACCATTGACTTAAAGTGAGTCCTTGACCGTAGGCAATTATACAGTTGTATTTGTTGTAATTGTTCATTTCTTCCTCAGTTAATTTAGTTTTACCTTCTGCAATTTTTGCTTCAAGAGTGATGTAGTGTTTATGAGCCTTATGACCCAAGATGTCAATTTCATCTGGTACTAGTTTTCTAATGTTTTTACCCCCGTTTGCAGCCAAGGTTTGAGCCCAAGATTTGTTGGTCGTGTCTGTACCAGTTTTTTTTTCATCTTTTTTTTCATTTTTGTCGGTGACGGGATGGGCATTGGTTGATGGTGGATTTGGTGCTTCAGCGTGGATGCTTTCTAAGTCTTCTTTCATTATTGTTGTTCTATTAAATCAGGCTTTTAAATATAATTTGATTGGAATTCCACGAGTAATCCGTCTCTAGAACATTTCTGCTGTTACTATCATTTTGTACACATGGTTTATAAGAAAACACGTGGTAGCGACACTTGCAGTACTATTTATTTCTGTAAGAGTAAAGACGAAGGCATACAATTACGAATGTTTAAAGGTTATTTGCAGTTGAGAATGCATGTCTATTAAAACTTGTGTTGAACAAAACTAAAAGGGCCGAATTAAATAAATAAAAATTATATAAAAAAGAACTGAAATAAAATATTAATCTATGGTACAAATCTAAAATTTGGGAAACTCATTAACCGACAACTTCGGTCTTGTCTAATTCATCATCATGTAATTCTGATTCTACACTATCTTTGGAAATCTTGTAGAACTTATTTCTCCAGAATCCATCATCACCTAATACTTCCTTAGTGATTAAAGTATAACCACCAAAGTATGGAAGAATCTTAACCCAGACCAACCAGTAAGCTAAACCAACACCAAAGACACCCCAAGTGACAACAGCGTGAGTATAGTATGGCATGGAGTGGTAAACGGTTTGACCATCAATAGGAGGAATGTATGGAGCAACAATCAAATAGAAGGAAGCAAAAAAGAAGAAAACAACAACTGGAAGAGAAGCCTTGATAGGTGGGTTCCATTCCATTAATCCTCTAGCTTTCTTATAGTAGATATAGAGTAAACCAGCAGCGACAGCGGTGTTGACAACGTTTAATGGGTATGAAATCAAGTTCATGATGAAATTATAAGCATCACCTGGAGGTGGAGCGACAATGGTGATGATACAGACAATCCAATGTTGCATTAAACCAGTGAATGGAGTGTTGAATGGTCTAGTAGTAGCAAAGAATTTTGAGAATGGTAATGAACCTTCACGACCTAAGGATTGAATAATTCTACCTTGGGAGAAAATGACAGACATAACGTTAGCCCAAGCAGATAAAGCAACGAAAACAGAAGCAGCCTTTTCAGCTTCATCACCAAAGGCATACTTGAAGAAAGAAGCAGCTAAGATTCTACCAGAATCGGCAATTTCTTCCTTTGGAACAACAGCAAAGTAAGCAATGTTAACCAACATATAGATAACAGCTAAGGAAACGAAAGCAATTGGAGCAGCCCATCTTAAAACTCTGTTTGGGTTTTTGATTTCACCTAAAGCATAGTTAGCATTCGAGTAACCAACATAAGACCAAATGACGTTATATAAGGAGTTGACAATACCAAAACCAGTTGGAGTAGAACCATGGAAAGCATCTACAAAATTATAAGTTGGTTCAAAGTTGTTACTCTTGATACCACCACCTAAGGCAACCCAACCGGTAATAGCAATAAATAAGACAATGAAGACCTTGAAAACACCTAAAGCATTGGCAATGAATAAACCAGTCTTGATATGAATAGCATTGATTAAGAAAGCAAAGGTGATAACAGCAATACCAATACCACGAGAATTCCATTGGGTAACTTCCTTACCAGCAGCGTTTAAAAGATATTCACCGACAACAATTGAGTTACCAGCAGCCCAACCTAAGAAGAAAACATAGGAAGCATACATGGCAGTAATTAAAAACTTTGGTTTGTTGTACATGTATTCCAAATAATTCTTTTCACCCCCGTTTCTTGGCATAGCTGATCCTAATTCCATATAAACTAATAAACCGGAGAATGCAATAATGGTACCGGCAAACCACATCATTAAGGATGTACCAACAGATCCAGAAAGGGCAAAAATAGTAGAACCAGTGGAGAAAACCCCGGCACCCAACATTCTATTAAGCATAAGGAAACTGGCGGAGACAATACCGATTTCTTTAACATTTTTATCCAGTTCAATGACACCGGCTTGATGTTCAGAACCGGTTGAAAGACTTACGGCGTCTTGCTCATTTGACTGCTTTTCATTTGAACTCAGAAACTTGTAGATATCAGAGAAAGCCATCTTTGATTATTCTCTTGTTTGTTTGTATTTTCTAAAAAGATAGACAAATTTAAACTTTGGGATAAAGAAAGACAGAGGATTAAGTTGCATTTTTATAATGAAACCTACCTGTCTGACAAAAAGGAAAAACCCTTGCAGCTTTTTCACGTTTTAGAATTTGCACTGCAAAAAAAGTAACAAACGAAGGAAAATTTCTTTTAACTGTGGAAAAACTAAGAAAAAAATAATTCGAAGCTCATCTCCTTACGGCGATTTGAACTTAAAAAATAAACTGCACTTACCAAACGAGTAAGACCGCACAAAGAAAAATATTTTTTAATCTAATACCCATTGTTCCACGCAACACCCAGCCGTTGAGTCGGGCCTTGAACGGTGGCTACCAAAATTGTGGAAGCGATAAAAAATATGAAACACATATGGAAAAGATAAACTGTGGCTCTTAAATATATCCTGATTTTTAGTTTTTTTGCTGATAAAAGAAACAAATCTAATGGAAATACAGAATGGCGAAATCACGGCTTCTTTAAATGTGGATGTTAGTTGAAACGAGACCCAAGGCATATGTTTTTAATGAACGTTGCATGACAAACGGACCTGTGGCGACTCATCCCTTCCTCTAAGCGCAAGTCAATTGTTATAGGCCGCTAGTTAACAATAGGAATAAAGCGGGCATGATGTAATTGACTTTCAATGTAAAGCAATTGCTAAGCAATTCCCAATTCGTGCTTGGCAAACTTGGACATATTTGTTATCAGGTATCCTGCTGCATTTGTGACAGTACGTCAAATCTTTTTTGATTGTTTTGATAGTTTCAAAAAGAAACATAAAAAAAACATTAGACTGGAAAATTGATTAAAAATTATTTTCTAATTAAAGGATTAATAATTATTTTTTTGCAACCTTGCATGGAAAAATAATTTCCAAGCGGTGGTCACGTGAAATTTGCAACGATTGGCATTTTGCAATTTGTGTCACCTTTACAATCAGAGTTAAAAACCGGCGGCAATCAATTGAAATAACTAATCAGTCACTAAACGATAAGTCCAGAATTGTTCCGCATAATGGTAATTCGTAAAATCATATGCAACTAATCTCCCAAAACATTCGATTGGCCGCCTGGAGAGGAGATTGCGGGCTTTAACAAGTGGCCTGTTCATTTATAATTATATTAATTACAACAGCACAGTTGTGGCTCAATTGAATCAATAAGCTCGTGCCTTTTAATTTGCCATTGGTTTGTTCTTTCTTTGGGTTCGTAGTTACCCAAACATCTCCTGATTTAAGTTTGTTCGTATGATCCCCAACTTCAAAATAATAATCCCTATCAATGTTTTAGTTCTTAATGCTTTGTTTGGTTTTAGTCGTATGCAATTAAACGTGATTTTAGCCACTATTATTAAACTAAATTCAATCTACGTCTTTTCTTTTTACTTTACAAGTTTTTATGTATTTTTAGTTTCTTTACAAAAAAATATATGAAATGAAAAATTAACTATACAAAAAATCAAACCGATTTATATCACTTTTTACAATAAACCTTCAATTAATTTCTTTGCAGTATTCAAATTATCTTCAGAACCAACCAAGTAGATAAACTTAGCTTCCCTGTCACTGGCTCTTGGAATTGAAATAAATGTGTTGGAATCCTTTCTAATTTGATTCACCTTAGACCCTTGAGGGCCAATGATTTTAGAAAAGATAGATGGTTGTGATGCATAGAACCATCCGGCATATTTGGCGTTCTTCGCATTTTCTAATCTTTCTTCGATTATCTTTGCAACTTTAGCTGTGTTTTCTTCACTACCTTTCAATCTCCATGGAATAACAATGTCATTTTCTTTGGCTTCTTCATGCTCAACAATTGTGAATTTGAACTTGACACTTTCGGTTGGATAAGCTTCTTGTGGTGCAGCAGGAATTGGTGCATTTGATAATTTGGCGGCTTGTCTGGTATAATTGCCATGAGTGACTTCAACGTTGTAATCAGATTTCAATTTTTTGAAAATTGCTCCTTTTTCACTAACTAAACCGTGATAAGCGGCTGGTACATCAACAGAAACTTTCCAGTCATCCTTGGTTAATTCTTCGATCTTACTTTTGGCAGCAGCGATCTTTTCTGGTAAACCAACTACCTTTATAATTGAAGATTTATCATTTGGTCTAGGAATTTCTAAACTAACACCGAATTCATCTTGAATAGCATGACGAATAGAACCACTTGGACCAATAATTAATCTATGCTTTTCCTTTGGAATATCGATTTCTTCAGAAACTGCAGCTTCCTTATCAGCAATAATCTTCTTGATTTGTTCTACAATCTTTTCAACAATAGATTTATCACCTTGAGAAGTAACTTCATCACTACCTGAACCTTCATTTGGAATGTTTAATAATTTATACTGTTTATTTCTTGGGACTTGATCACCACCAGCTTTAGAAATAATGTCCTTCATAACTGAACCACCTTGTCCAATCAAATCACGATGATAAGCTGGATCGACTTTAATAGTAACAGAAACGAAGTTTTCAATTTCGTCAACAATTTCTTGAATCTTCTTGCTTGCTTCCTTAAGTGCGGATTTAGAACCAGTTAATTCAACTTCGGCATATCCTTTCGATTGATCTTCTTCTTGATCACGCTTGAACTTATATTCAACACCAGTACCATCGGCAATATCATTAATGGTTTCACCAGCTTTACCAATCACTCTAGCAACTGCCTTAACTGGAATTTGAACAATTTGTTTGAATCCATTTTCCTTTTCGAATTGATATAAATCAATTAATTCTTCTTCAGCCTTAGCTACACCCTTAGATGGACCCTTGATTGTGACTTCATCCTTGGATTTAGGTGCATCAGAAAATTGGGAAGAAGCAGATGGGTCAGCAGATGGGAATCTAATCTTGACGTTGTATTTATCTTGTAAACGATTGATGTAAACACCTTGAGGACCAATCATTCTTCTATGGAATGGATGCTCAATTCTTAATCTAACCAAAGTTTCATCCGCCCATTTCTTAGCAACTGCCAAGACTTTTTGTTTAGTTTCTTCGACATTTCTCTTAATACCTGTAATAGTAACTTCAGTTTTGGCATTTTTATCCTTAACTTCTTCCTTTTCAAGTGGAACTTCAACTCTAGCGCCAAATTCTTCTTTAAGCGAATTTAAATAAGCACCACTCTTACCGATCAATCTAGAAAGAACAGTTGTTGGAACTTGGACAGTGGTAGTGTATCCATCTTGATACTCTTGGGCATCGGCAATGACAGATTCGATGTCTTTCTTTACATGTGAAACAGATGCCTTGATACCACGAATAAAGATTTCATTTTCAGAATGTTCAACACCGTTGGAATGCAATTTAACGATAACTGAATTAGGTTCAACACCATTCAAGATAGATCTTAAAGTAGTACCCCTTGGACCTGAAACTTGTTGTTGATCCTTGGAGTCAACAGTAAGAATACTGGTCTCTAAAGTGGCGGCTAATTCTCTTAAAGTATTTAAAGATTTGTCAACTTTCTTGAAAGAATCTTCAGCATTGGCAATTTCATCAAAATCTTCGGCATCTTCTTGTTCAACTTTGTTAGAGAACAAAGTAATTTGTTTACCTAAAATCACATAGCTGACTCCTTCAGCCTTAGCAACATCCTTAATGGTTCCTTCGACTCTGCTTAATAAGAAATCATCAATATCTTCAATTAATTTAGTTTGATCAGGAGTGATTCTATTAACATGGTTAACAATCGATTTCTTGGCAATCTTGATCTTTTCATCATCTTCTTTGGAAACAATTTCAATAGGAATATTAGCTAAAGTAGGGTTACTTAATGATTTAAAATCAGGAACATTGATCTTTACGTCATTGGCTTGAGCAATTTCCTTAAAGGTACCATTTTGGTTCAAATGAGCAGCAACGGCTTTAACATGCTTTAAATTACCTCTATGAGCCTTAGACATGTCTAAGACTTCAATCTTGTATTGAGAGGTAGTCTTCCTTGCTTGTTCTTGAGCTAATGGGATCTTCTTCTTTTCACCAATAAACTTGACATTAGTTTCACCTTCCTTTGGTAACTGAATCAAAACATTGATTTCGTTTAAGATTTCATCGATTGGTAAGAATTGATGTTTGATCTTTGGAATTGGAACTTCTTCAACTACAATCTTTTTATCGAAGTTTTCCAAGGCAGATTTAATTTCAGATTTTGCCTCAAGAACCAATTCACGTTCACCAACAACGACAATACTAGTTCTAGATGACTTATAATCAGGAATTGAAAAGTCAAGAGTGGAGTATTTGTTGACAATAGGTTTTAATTCATGCTGGGCAAATGGTTTGACTTTTTCATCTACTTGGATCTTAGTTGATAAATTTTTGGTTTCTTCTTTTACAATAGCTAAAATTTGATTTTTAGCACGTTTAGAACCTTCAACATCACCATCAATTGTCACTAAAATTGTCTTTGCAAAGATGTCATCTTCAGCATCGTGATCGTCTTCATTGTCTTCAAGTTCGGAATCTACTTCTTCGGTGTCACCAATTTCAATCTTAACTTCATTAGCTTGAATGATTGGTTTTAAATTCTTACCACCTTGACCAATAATTCTTGATCTCAATTTAGCAGGAACAGAAAATGAAATCTTAACTGGTTTAGTTAATTTCTTAATAACCAATCTTTTAGCCAATTTAACCTCTTCGGGTTTACCAGTAATCAAGAAAGTTCTCTTTTTAGTGTGTTGAGAAGTAGTACATTCAATATTAGTCTTAGTTTCTTGTTTAACATAAGTCAAAATCTTGATAAATTCAGGACGTGTAACGTTCAATTGATCTTCTACATCAAGGGAGAATGCTTCTTGGATAGTAGATACCTTAGATTTGGTAGTAGCTTGCCTTGGAGCAGGAGAAGGAGAAGCAGTTCCAGAAATTGGGCTAACGCTAGATGGCGTTTTCATACTTGGACCCCAAGAGGTTTGAGGACTAGGAGCAATGGTTTTAGGTTTATTACCTCCACCTAAGGTTGGAAAAGCAGATTCATCAGAAATTGAAGGTTTTGTTTTCGTTGGAGTTTCTTTTTCTTCGACATCTTCTTGGTATCCTTCTGATTCAGCAGATACTGGCTGATCTCTGTTAAGACGAGCAGCAATGATTTCAGCAGGAGTTGGCATTTTCTTTTATGGTTATAAGATCTCTCTTTTTCGTTCAATATAAAACAATGGGCAATGCTTTTCTAGAAATGGAAAAACAGCAGGGAAAATTGGTTGGTTGGTGTATTTTTTTGTATTTTACTTAATTTATACTTAGTGTCAGAATTGATTACTAAGATATGCTTTGATGAAATGTAATGAAATGGATGGTTGATTCAAAAAAGTAAAAGTTGGAAATTTTGTGAGTTGGTTGTCAAAAAAAAAACTGAAAATTGAGAAAATCTGTTTTGGTTAAGAAAACGACGATCTAATGAATTTTGTAAAATTCTCGCGCGCGCAATAAAATTATTTGTGCGTTGAACTGCGAAAAAAGAATGTTAGAGAACAAAAAACAAAGTTATTTGCGGAATTAAACCTTTTAAGATTTTAAAGTTTGACTTTCCTGCATATAATCAGATCTTGCACACACTATCCATCCGATTCCGGTCTTAAAAGAACCAGATAGGTTGCAAAATTTTAAGATTGTGGAACATCGTCTCTAGTATTCTGCATTAATCTGCAGATACACAAATATGAGCCTTTGCGCGGCTCACATTTTGAAAACTTTAATACAAAGGAATGAGGCATATGACCTGGAATCCGGATTGAGGCTCTCCCAACTGACAAAATTAAGTGTTCAGATTCTCCTTTGGCAAACACGTAAGCTGGCCCTACTTTTCCATGTGTAACTTTTATTTAGCAAAAGCGGGGAGGCACGTTTGTATTTTGGTTGAGTTAACACGGTCATATCTCTCTTCTGTATTTGGATTTGCTAAAGGGACAAATGATTAACTGTGGCCCATGCCCCCCTTGATTGGAGTATACAAATGCTGTACAATGGTTATATACCTGTCAACAACTGACATTTTTCTTTACTTTAATCCCCATTCCTCCGGTTCATCTTCAAATAGATTAGAGATCCTAGTTGCAATCGAAATCTATTAGCATTTGCTGTCCTCGTAAAGGTTTTTTAACTCCACCACCACAGTAGGCAAATTCCGTTTACTGCGAATTTTTCCGCAAGGAAGCCCCCTACTTGAGCTCCACCACAATGGGAAATTAGGCTTACTATCATTTTCTCTATAAGGATTCCTTCTGTATCATAACCATTGGTGCTGAGTGTATTTCCGGGAAAAGCCGTCACACGGCAAGGACGGCAGTTGGACACACCCAGTCCGCAAGAACAGAGAATAAATATTAAAGTTTCGTAAGCTATCGGCCAGTCGTCCGTAACTATGCAAAGTTTTAAAGAAGCTACATCACTATACTTCTACAATAAATTGTACATAAATGAATAAACAAATTAATTATATGCATTAAACTATGAACCTATTAACTCCCAAAAAAGCACCCATTTTTTTGCATTAACGTAAATAAATATAATATACAGAAGTTGAAGAAAATCCCCTTAAAAATTATTCTCGTTCAATTCAATACTAAATAAACCTCTTTCATGAATCAAGAATGTCTTTGTATTTCCTTGATTCTTCATTTTATGAGCATTTCTATCAAGTGAACAAACCAACCCAGTTATTGTCGCACTGCTAATATAAATCTCAGGATTATTAGTATCTCTCACAAAATGATCAACATTACTTATAGTAATCAATTTCCCACACCATTTATCAAAGGAATTCAAATCAGGTATACAATTGGATATATATTGTTTTTCCAAAGTGGTATATGTAGATTCAGTTGAATAAAACTTGAAACCAAATATTGTAGTCGACTGGAAATCGGACGCCACGGATGAATTAGAATCAGTAGTAACAACTGAACCTCTTCTATCAAATAATGAGGGTGATATAGATGCCACTGATTCTTCGCCATCATCAACAACGGCATCTTCTCTATCTTCTTTAGATATAAAATTTCCTGATCTGAACACTCCCAAAGGTATTGCATCTTCCCCAAGTCCTGAGATATGACCATAATCAGCTGCAGCAGCCGTAGCCATCAATAATGCATTAGCCCTTCTTGAATTTCTAGAAGGTATGGATTTTAATCTAGATATATTTCTCATTTCAAGTGGGAAACTTAAATCACGACCAATTACTAAATTTCTATACCAATTATTCATGGCAGGGAAAGACCAAAATTGGAGTAAGATTTGTTTATATTCTATCCTAAGTCTAAGTACATTCTTGTACTTTACTAATGTTGAATTATTCTGTTGGGTATAGATATTCTCTTCTTTATACATGGCTGATATGACTTGATTCAATGAAGGAGCTTCTCCCAATTGTAAGTGGGCCAATGAATATGAATTGATAAGTTGTCCTTGGTATTGTTTTATATTGTTGTATCCTTCTTGAGATTCGCTTGGTTCAAATAAAAATTTGTTATCTTTGAGTAAATCATAATAATTCTTTATCAATGATAATGTCTTTTGATTTCTTTGATGTTTTAATTTCAACTTCAATTTAGATAATTTTGAGCTATGAATGATACTTCTTTCACTATTTCCGCCATAAGCATCACCAGCTATTATGTCATTAAGGTCGTCTGAAGTAGTAGATTCTGTATCAAAGGAAGTATTCTTCTTATACGTTTGATTCATTTCCATTACTAATTCATCCAAGGAATTTAAGTGGGAATAAAGACATACAATCAAATTACTAAGCTTCTTCTCCACATTCAAATCGTAAATGTTTAACTGAGTAGAATTTAAATGAAGTAGCACCGGTTTCCAAGCTCTGGAACCTGTATTACTATGATACGGAGTGAGAAATTCTGTCTTGGTTAATGCCAAACCATAATAATTCAACCCTGGGGAATACCCTGGTAGTGAATCATTTGGCTCGGAGTATTCTGGTAGCGTTGCCATTTTTTCTATATTTTGCAACCGTTATCTAATTAAGGATTTTTTAATTTCTGTAGTTTTATGTTAGTAAATATGAGATTGCTCATAAGGTGCAGCTTAATATTGTAAAATATGTTGGAGGGGGGTGGAAAGCAGTAATCCAAAAAGAAAGCCAGAAATTATTAGGAATGTATTTGTTTAATAAATGATAGTCAAAGACGTCAATGAATAAATATTTGGAAAGTCCAGGTGTATTTATAATAAACTTTTTAAACTAGTCATCCTGTTTGATCTTGGTGGGGCGGACGCTTTTAGTCACACGACAACTTTCCTAATTTGGGTTTTTAATTTTTTTTAACTTTTTCCACATTTTTTAATCTTTCCCTCTCCAAACCAGGAGTAGAAACACCATATGTGTGTGTAGCCAACCCCAGACGAACACGTCCCACATAAACCCCCCATTCCTGCCAAGGGATACCCAAGTGTTGATGAACTTTACAACCAGGCGGGTATGGTATTTTTACTTCCATTATTTGGGACGTGTGCTATGGAATTAAAATCCATCATGGTAATATCGGCATTATATGTATAAAACCGCCACTAAAACGTCTTTGAGTTCGGAGCTTGTTTCCTTTTGGGTAATGTTGATTTGATTCCATGAACTAAAATTATTATCGTGTGACCTTTAATGAAACTTGCCAAGACTAATCTGTGGAAAATAATTAACACCCGAGATTTGCGTATAAATAAATTTTTAGTTTGAGGTTTGAGTCACTCAATATGGTTTTGTGCGATTCACTATAAACATCAGCATATGGTATCCAAGCATGTCAACATTATTAACTGCACAGTAAAATCAATAGTCATACATACGAGTTACTATTCTGACTCGAGGAAATCAACACGATGGTATACTGTATAATATATGTAAAGTTTATCTGGTTTTAAGGTTTATTCTATGAAAATAAGAATGACCCTTAACTTTAAGATTGAAGAATAAGTTAACGCATAAGAAAAGAACACGAGGAGAGGAATTCCTTGGTATTATATATTAATTTATAAATTAAAGATAAGTATGCCGTGGGGGTGGGGGGAAGATAAGCTTGCCGCGAAATCCCATATAAGCCCCCACAAGTTAAGTGTGTCATCCTCGAAATGTTTACCAGAGCAATAAACAAAGAAACTCTATTGTTTCACAATCAAAGCGCGCGTGGCGCTTTCATCTTTCTCATTTCGTCTTTGCCTCTCTCAACCCCACAAAATCTTTTCTTCAGGTTAACTTGCATGGACAATGACAGAGCCAAGACCTACTATGGGAGTGGGATAAAACACCCACTCGGTTTGAAATTCAAAGTCGGCATTAATTTTAAACACGGTAAGAAATAAAATAATTATTTGGTGCACGCTGACACGTTTCAAGTTTTACCGAAGATCGTTCTTTCGGAACAAAGGCTAGGAATTCCGCATTGACTTACAGTTTTATCATTCATAGCATGGCCCATCTCTGTCCGTCATTCTGGTGGAGTAACAACTAGTATTAAGTACCTCACACTAAAAATCTTAGAGAAATTACTCTGCGGTATGAATCCCAAAAGCACAATACAGGATAGAAAATTTGGAGATTTACTATTGTTCTTTTGACAACCCGTTAAATCCGAAGCATCTGGTTAAAGTTTCCAATTCCATCTCACTCTTTTACCCCTTACTACAATCAAAATGCGAGAATTATATGGTGTCTTGTGCGACACGGTCTTCTAAGATCTTTGGTACAATAGGATACTCGCGACTGACAACTTGTGGCATCAGAAACGTTCTCACTGATAACTAAACTTTTCGTGCTTTAATAAAGGATCTCTCTTTTCATCTATAGAGACGTAAATGGTTAGTGGGGAGCTCCATTGTATTAAGATAGGTGGGGCTGCTTCTAAGTACTGCGCCAACAGCTTTGATTATCAACAGCCAAGGTAATAGATAAGCTTATTTGACTTTAACCTTATATCTTAAAGGGCTTTTTCTCGATACTCCACATGGATTATTTCCCCTAAATTTGTATCGTTGCATAGCTTCTATTAACTACAGTTTCAGTATATAGTATGCCATAGCACTTGCTTGTTAGTTGCTTCAGCTCGACCAGGTGTAACTAAATCAAAAAAATGTCGCAAAAAAATAAATCTCCCGGGGGTGAGTCGAACACCCGATCTCAAGATTACAACTTTGAGGTACTAATTACAGTCTCGCGCTTTAAACCAACTAAGCTACCAGGAGTTTTTGTTGAAGTGTTTTTTTCCTAATTAAATGCACTACAGACATCTGAGACCCCGATTTGGGTAAAATTCCGTAAATTTTGGACCATTTGGGATAATATTCCGCTCGCAGTCACCTGACCTTGAATTTTGATGAAGATCATAAATGCATTAGATTACCTATTTTACTTCAACTTTCTTGGAGATCTGTTACTTAAGATAGTTTCACCTTCCTATAGATGGTAGCTGACTACTTTTAATTTAATTTAATAACAGTTAAGGGTTGTTTTTATCAAATGTCGCAAGTTTAGAATTTTGTAAGAAAATCGGACAAAACTTTTTTTTTTACATATACAATCTGTTTATTGAGTTCATATACATACTAACATACAGAAATATAACAAACAGAAAAACAATATACTTTAAAGGCAAAAAGCATCATTGCCTAAAACCTCATTTCAGAACCATCTTAGAGACTGAGTGTATAAGAATAATTATTAAGACTCTTGGAGGTGTACGATACCCATTTGCGAATGAATTGGACCGTGAGCTCAACGTTCCGGCCCCCTCCACGTCGAAATTTTTGAAACTTATAAAGGAGGGCGAGGTATCGATTTAGCTGCATTAATTGAAATGGTTGAAGGGAGGAATTGCAAATAAAGAGGCGTAGCCTCCTTGGTAGTGAGCGTGGACGGCAGAGTTGCCAAAGAATCTTAGTGACCCGACACTTTGTGTAGACATGATGGGTGTAATAGCGACCCCAGACATAACGACCACAGAATTCACATTCACGGTCGGAATGATGCGTAAAATGACCCAAATTGAGTCGGTGAACAGCGTCCATACCATCCGGGTAGCAACGTTTGCCATGAGCCAAGATCTTAAAAAATTTTACCCAATCAGCGGGATCCAAATCATAAAGATTAGACCAACCCTCCGGGATAACACATTGCTTTGCTTCAATATTAAATTTCTTTGAACGACTGTTGAAAAAGTCCCCCGGTAAATCTGCGAATAGTGGTGGGAGAATAGTAGAAGGGGGTGACCCGAAGAAGTCCCTATATTCATCATGTGAAAAATGACTCGGCTGTGCCGTATATGTTTTAAGGCAAATCAATGTTCAGACAGTTCGTAAATATCACACTAATGATTAAGAAA